ATAGGCCATCGGTTGCAAATTCTTTGACTCCATCACTCAAAATTGTTTTAGGGCGTCCCATTTTAGGAGATACTTTAAGTAACTTTATTTCACTATGAAAACTTTTTTGATAGACTATGTTCTCACTCAGTAAAAATTGACGGAATGAGCATTGATTGTCCTGGTTGACTAATTTATATGTTTAGAAAATAAGAATTAGCCGACTTTTATCAACAACAGTCGGCTTATTTATATTTCTCAAAGAATCAACATTGAAAAATATCAATTCCTTATCTTATCTTTATCTATTTAATGATGAACAATGAAAGATCCTTCTGTTTCAACACGTGTTACAACAGTAAACAATCCTTTCAAAAATTACAATAGAAAACTTTCTGTAAAATCTTTCTATACCTTCGTAACTACCTACTTATTTAGGGGTGAGTTGAGCACCTGCAGATATTTCGCGGAAATAAACAAAAAATCCATATTTCGCATTTATTGCATTTATTTTCAAAATTTCGCCGAAATTCGCATCTATTTCGTATAAACGAAAATTCCGTACCCCTAATTGTTATATATTTATTACGCAATACAAGCTGGTGGGGTGGAATCATTTCTGTTTGGTCAAGTGTAGATTGTATTCCTATTAACAGTCTCTTCTTAGATAGTTTACCAATAATTATTAGTATCAATGATATTGGTCGCTTTTGCGGATTATGATTAGTTCAGCTATATTTCTTGTTATTGGTACCTATTGTACCTTGAATCCTGCATTTGTGAAGTCTGTGAGTTTAATGATGACCTTTTTAGGTAATTGCTTTGTTTTTCCTATTATCTATAGCCCAAAATCTATTCATGTGTTGAATATAGGCCTCTCCCATTTGTCTCCATTTGTCTCTGTCTTCTGTTTGTCATTTCCACATTGGACCTGCGCTTTTCTTAATGTCATCTTTCCATCTTATTTGCGGTCGACTTCTTGACCTTTTTGCAGTATATGGTCTCCAGCGGCCAATTTCTTTATTCTATCTTCCATCCTGATATCTTTCGTTATGCCCAGCCTATTTCCATTTTAATTTCATTCATGTTCAACAGCGTCTGTTGTTTCGATATTCCCAGCATTTGTCATTCCATAGCTCTTTCGAGTTTTCTTTATTCTATCTAAGTTGCTCTTGGTACACGTCCACGTCTGGGCACCATATGTCAGAACAGGTTGGACGAATGCATTAAATACCTTCGTTCCTAATTTTAAAGGTATTTTTTGGTTTTTGATGGTATATGAGAGATTTCCGAATGCAGCCCGCCTCATTTTTATTCTTATGGTTATTTCTTTAGCCTGGTTACTTTTGTCAGCTCTGATAGCTTGTCCTAAGTAAATATATTCTTGGGCGTGTTCTAGGTTTGTTTCACCTATGGTAATTATTGATCTGTCTTCTGTATTAGTCGTTATTTTCGTTTTGATAGCATAGTTCTATGCTATCAAACGCTTTTTCATAGTCACTATAATATTCCCTTGTTATCTTAGATATTGGGATTCTGCTTTTTTCTATTACACCTTGTTTATTTTACATCCCTATGATTTTATTTCTTCCTAGGTGGAACTTGATAGATCTTAAGTTTCTATTTTCTTCTATAATCTTCTTGATTCGTTCTTGTTGATGCCGTTTGAGATCTTGTTTTATATGTCTTCTTATTTCTGTATTAAGGGTTTTGTATTCAGTTGTATTTATTTTATTTTCTTGTAGTAGGCTTCTCCGTTGTTGTAGCATGTCTAAAGATATGGCCCTTAGTTTTAATTTTTTATCTGATTTTGCTGGTGCTACTTCTAAGCTAGTCTTTAGAAGTTCTTCAGTGATGGCTTTGTTTAGTTGATCTAGATTTAGGTCTGCCAGCTTTGGTTCTTCGGCTGTTCTTAATTTGTTTTGGTATTGTTCTTTATTCTCCTTTAATTTTTCTGGGTGGACTGTTTTCTTAGAGTGCACATATTGTCTTCGATCTTTTTTGTGTTTAATACTTATTTTAGCCCATATCATTCAGTGATCACTACCAGTAGAAATTGAGTTTATTACTGTGACGTCTTCAAAAATGTTCTTTTTGTTTGTTAGTATGTAGTCAATTTCATTTTTAGTGTTCTTATCTGGCGACATCTACGTCCATTTCCTACTTTGGCTACTTATTTGCATATGGTAGGCTTCTTATTGATTGATCTCGTGTTCTGTATCTTCATCATCGTAATTTTCAACTTGATCATTATTTTCCATGTGACTTTGAAATATATTATTAAATATTTGCTCTTTGTTTGGCATCACGTGCCCATGTTCCATCTTATTTTCGACTTAACCGGATTTGTTAAGTTGAACTGTTTATTCTTTCTGTATATTTCCTTAGCTAATAGTCAGTGATTTAGTGATCTTTCAGATCATTTAGGTGGTTGATTTATTTTTAATTTTCTCTATTTTTTTTTCTTGACTGTTAAGTGAGATTTTTTATTACATTCATATATTGTGGAGTTCTAATTTTTCTATTTGTTATATTTTTCATTCTTATTTTCTATGTTGTTCTTGCTTTTCTTTTTACTTGTCCTAATTTCTGGGAAGGTAATAATGTCTCTGGGGTAGTTTTGACCTATTGTCTGAATGGCCGTGTAAGTTGTATGCACGAGATCGTGTTCAGTGTAAGGTTTCTGTAACAGAGGATAACTAAGTAGATGTAATGAATCTTGTACTGTCCCACATTCACACACGTCATCCGTGTGCATCCGAGTTAGCAAGCAACAGTCCCCATTTCCGAATGTTGGTTTTACACTAAGATACTCTGACGCATAGACGATGTAGAGTCAACCACACAAGGTAAGAAAGATCGCTATTAGACTAAAATTTCTCTTTGAGATTATGTGTTGATCTGGTCAGAAAGCTTCTCCTCGGTTTGAGTCTTCGCACTGTAGACTGGTAATCATAGAATGAATGTCGCGAACCTAGAGTATGTTTGTTTCATTTCACAACTCTAGCTACTGAATCAGCTGTTGATATCAGGTGAAGTGATACCTACGATAGGGTAGAGCTTATGTATAGGTGTGGGTTTTAAATATCCACTGATGATCCTTGCTGACTCATTCATAGCTATATCTACGTGACTAGCTGAGAAGCTTATGCTTCTCATACTGACGAGGCATATTTGCTGCAGAAATACAGAAAAATAATGGCATACAAAGTTCTTTGAATGACAAACGTACTATCCAAAGTGATTCCCAGGTTTTTGAAGTAAAGTATACATTTTAAAAATCAAAAGAATGCTTATTTTCTAGAGAATGCTTGGCTAAGGCTGAAGTTTTAATTGATTGGTTTGTACACTGTGTTTGTATGCAATATCACTTCTATGTAGATATTAGTGTGTTTTCCCAATATATGTTAAATTGCAGTCTTTACAATTTATTTTATAAATATTCAACTGATGATCTTTATTAACGTTGGGTTTAAATTTTGAAAAATATTTAGTGTTTTGTGTAATTTAGTGACATTACTATTATTATTGCTAGGTACTGTTTGGATTTGTATCGGAGTTAGTTTGGTTTCTGATAATGTAACTTCTTTTTTTAATTATATGATTGTAAAGTTCGGGTACATAATTATTTATTATTTATTTATTTTCATATACATCAGTCGAATGTAATTTATGACAAATTGTAAAAACTGCAATTCAACGTATATTGGGCAAACATACCAATATATACATAAAAGGGTTATTCCACACAAACATAATGTACAAACCAACAAACTAAATACTACAGCTTTAGTAAAGAATTTTCTAGAAAATAGCCATTCTCTTGATTTTAAAAATGTACAGATTTTGGCAAAAGCACAAAACTATAACAAAAGATGCATATTGGAGATGATTCGTACAAAAAAAGATAAAAAATTGTGCGAATATTAAGACTGATATAAAAGATTTTTCCAATATGTATAATCATTAAAGTTGTTTTTTAAGTCCACCAGATATTTAAAATACGACCCTAAACCACTCGTATTTTAAAGTAACTGCCAGTATTTAGGATCAAATAATACTTTTGCATTCTATGCTTATTAAAAAAATGCACAAATAAAATATAATTATGTAATATATAGGTAATGTTTAAATAATTAAAGTACTTGTTGAAAATGGCAAATAATACCCGAAACGTTTAAGCAATAATTAAGTGGTATTATACCCCATTTATATACTTTGTTTTCAACTTTGATTTTTAATTCTACGTATTTAAATTTTATAGTTCGATTTCTTCTTTTCTACAGTCTTGGTAGTGCTTGGTAGACCTTTTTATTGTAGTGAACCACCCACTATCTAATATATTCTTTAGTCTAGTTCTTACATTCACACTCTATGTTCACTTCAGTTGCCCCCAAACTATGACCCAAATTATTACTGACAGGTTTAAGTGTGAGATCTAAATTATTCAATCTACATAAAGTAATCTATATAATTTCATATTTCATCAGTTAACTTCCTATATTCGTATCAGTTGGACTTTGTACATTTTTTGTATCTTTGACTTTTGTACCTTTGTACAGACATATGTCAGATGTCACTTTAACATTTCTGTTAAGACCAGAAGCCATTCTCTTTCCTGCTGTCACCCACTATGTAGCTTCTTCAAATTTTAATTTTTTTAAACTGTTTTTCCTGTGTCTAGTGCCATATAAATGTATTATTTATTGTTTATGACATTCATCAAGGTGCTGGATAGCCTAAAATTTTGACAAAGTAGGTCTAAAACGATATATAAAAACTTTTTTATCAACCATCAACTTTTAGTTTTTTCGAAGTTAATTAATTTTCTTTCACTTGGAAAACTGCTTTTTGGGTTATTTCAGATGCCCATGAAGATGCTCTGAGACCGAAAGTATTTGGGCAATATTTAATAAAAAGCTGTACTCGATATCTGCCTTTTATTTGATTAAAGTTCAATAATAAAGTGTTTTATTTATAACAGACAGACACATCGAGAAACTAAAAAAGTTTTTTGTTCTAGATCTATTTGAATGTGCTGCTGTTGATTTTCCTCCAAGTAAGCAATGGATTCGAGTACACTTTTATGGACGACAAAGCCGAAAATCAACTTTACGATGAAAATGAGAATAAAATAGACGACAGAAAGTTTAATAAAAGGATAGAAAAGTTGACAGTACCTAATGAGGCTTTCAAAAGAAATTTTCGAACTTCGGTAACTCCTAAATATTTTTTGTTTTATTAAAGTAAATAATAGATGAGAATTGAAACATTTCAAATATAATTAACTGTTTTGTTTTTGTAGCTTTATTTTATAGCTTTTTAATCGTAAAATCGGAATGAGATTTTCGGCATTACCATTTCGACATTGACCATTTTGGCATTACTTTTCCTTTTTCTTTTTACCTGCCGGTATTTTCCAGAAACTTTTTATTACTATTTGTTTTTCTATAACTTAATTAACTATTTTGCCAATCCTGGAGCTCTTTTAACTTCTTATTTATAATTTATTATTGTTGCACTTTATGCAACAGTATATTTATAGTATAGTACTAAACATTTCAAACCTTTTTCACTGAAAATAATATCTAATAATAGGTTAACACCACAACTACCTAAGGACACATTTTTAACACGCATTAACATGTGTCATATAAATATCTATTACGTTAGTTTAAATAGATCTATACATATTATTGTGATATGTCGTTAGAGAACGACAACACGCTTTAACACGTCATACCGTCTGTTTCCAATATGTAAAGTGGTCAGATTTTCAACAGAGTTACAGAATTTTAAAACATCAAGACGAGGTTATATTCACTAGACCTCGCCGCCGCGAATTTGTTTACATATTTATTATATTTGAATCGATGAGTAGAAAAACGATATAACTCCAAATGCATTTGAGATAACCTGAAAAAACTGTTTATTATAAAAAGTATACATTACACAAGAAATATGTACATTGCAAGTTTGAAGACAATCAAATTCTTTAAACGAATGTAAAGAAAAAATTTATTTTTGTTTTTTAATAAACGACATACGCGTCCAAACGTCACTTTGAGTTAATACCGTTCTTTCACTCAACATTAAAAATGAGTTGAAATATTTACGTTATTAATAAAATAAAACAACAAATTTAAATAACTTGTATTATTTGTAAAATACTTGGCCATATAAGTTTTTAGAACGTAAAAGCATTATCATTTTTGAAAGGACCTAAAAGAAATGGTACTTATTGGTCTTCCTGAGTCACCTCACCGTCAACATTGGTGCTTTCCCATGATGTAATGTGACTATAAAATTCTAAAACTTCTCCTGTCATGTATTGTATTATATTTTTAAGATTATCATTTTTTTGATATTGATTGGTAATTTTTAGTGTATACAGGATTGGTTGGCAAATTTTGGGTTGCTTTGACTACGTTTGACTAACTTGAAACTGCTTGTGATGAATCCGCCAACATAATTGCTAGTTGTGACGTACCCTCCTGTAGCACTATCATAAGTAAATTGACTGTAATGTGATATTGTAAATTTATCTTTTTTTCCATCGGAACAGTGGGTGATTTTTTTGTAGCGGTTCGCCCACCAATTTTTGTAGTCAATTATGCCTTTATGACATATTGTTGAAATCGTAAACGGCTTTTATTTGCCACAAGACAGCATCATCTTTTCGTAATCTTCTGGAAGATATATTCTATCGTATTTTCTTACCACTTCCTTCAAAGTTCCAGAGTCCCTGTCACATGACAAAAAAGAGTGACCACGCAATGGGAAGTAGTGAAAAATTTTACGAAACCGCTTTGAAGCTGAAATAGTTAACAAATATCTGACTACAATATTGTTCCAATTTTGGCCCCGACAACTATCAGAAAATATGTGGAGCTCTCCAATCTCTGCTGGCATTTTCTGTACATAATCATTAAAAAACCTCATTGGGGCCTTTCGCTGCTTGTCCTTCATGGTATGTATAAAAATGTCCAGTACCGTTTTTTAAATCGTGTATTTCAAACCCATATAACCACAAAATTGTCTGTAATAAAACATTTCTTGAACAGGTATAACAGGTAAGGGTATATTTTGAATATAGTCAAAAACTATTCCGCCAACATCTTCTCTTTCATGGCACATGGTAGAGATTTCCTTAAGTTTTGAGTAAAATTTGTTAGCTCTTCGTTTATGGACTACTAATTTGGCAGCGGCAACTCTCTTTGCGTTTTCTTTTAAATTTACATCTTTAAGTTTTGTGCCCAACTCTTCGCATTATCCGCAAATATCAACTTGAGGCCGCTCAAATTTCAAAACAAAATTTTATTTAAAATTTTTTAAATAAAATTCATATTTTACTGTTCTTGCTAAGTCTGGGTGTAGTTTTATAAACAGATTATACATAATCTTAACGTTTAAGGTAGAATTAAGATAGGTGATTACTTTTGAACTGTATTGAGATCTTTTTTGAGGAAACGATTCAATATGTTGATGAATTTTTGCAAGAACTTCAGGCCGTAAAGTATGTGATTGAATATTATGTTTACCACGTAGATCTCTAGGAGAACTTTTGAGAAACAATCTATTTAGCCGTTGTAGTCTAGAGTTCGAGATCGAATGCAGATTAAGAAAAGTTGTTTTACATACGTGTTACCTTTCCAAAGTATTTCGTATGTAATATGAAAACGTGACTTCTCGGGTTTTTTCCCCAGCTTCTCTCTTTGGTCGCTTCTTAGTTACACGCCTACATTCCATTAATCCTTGCAAATAGACATCTTGTTCGTCTTTTGAACCTTTCTCATATAAAGTTTTTAAAACATCACCTTTTTCATCCATCGTAAGCTTTGACATGCATTTATTTTTACATCTGAAAAAAAAAGCTGAGGTATAGTAGACTCACTTTAAATAATTTGGGTTCAATTAAATACTTGCTGGAATATCTAGAAGTTTTTTTATTATATTGGTACAACTTTTGAATGTGTTTATGAAACCAAACCTTCTGGCCTATAAGAAGAATCAACATGCATCAAAAGTGTTTTTTCTCTACAAACCATTTTTCTTTTCTGGACACCTTCTTTTCATCTTATTTTGTAGTCCCTCCGTATCAGAATTTTCACTGCTAGACATTTTAAATTTCTCAAATACTGATAAAATCTTAAATTTTCACAAGCTGCTTACACTGCAACGATCAAGCCTAAATACTGAATAATAATAATCAGGTGACTGCATGCGATGATGCTCGATACGCAAAATTGAGTAGAAGAACGATAGGAGTTGTATCGTTATTCCACTCAATGCCAAATTGTATCTCGCTTTTAAAGCATATACTTAACGGATATTGTACGGTTTTTCGATTTAGCAGATAGATCGATAGTTAAAAAGCAATTTGGCTATCTTCGCTTGAAATGTCAATTTTTTGAGTTATATCGTTTTTCCACTCACCGATTCATTTATATATTTAAATATGAAGAAACAATTAATAGGGGAATAGAACAGTACAAAAGTATGATTTTTTGTACAACGTACAAAATAAGGATAAATCCAAAACTCTCTGGATTCATATCGTAGCACAAACAACGCCGCAGTACTAGCTACGATTTAAGTTTCTAATCATCCAAATTCTTAATCCGGCTTGTTCTACTGGTTGATATTCGTCCAATTTAAGTGTTAACCTGTTTGTAATAATTAGGTAGTAATAGAAGGTTTGATAATGATATGATCATTGCAAACACCTGGTATAAACTAACCAAGCGACGACTATACACTTGGAAAGCCCCATTTGATGATGACAATAATCCTAAGTCTTCAAGATATCAAATAGACTATATACTTGTAAATGAGCGTTTACGAAATGCCGTCAAAAAAGTCGCTGCATATCCTGGTGCAGATATTGGATCTGATCATCAACCACTCGTAGCAGATATTAAACTAAGGTTAAAACGAATTCAGCGACAAAAACCAAAAACCAATGTACTTAACTTTGACGATATAAACATAAAACATAACATTAAAAAGAATTTAACAATATAACAAAAAAACATTGGAGAACAACTAGAAGATCCAGAAAAACTATGAAGTGAATTTAAAAACCAAGTTAACGAAATCTCCACAAACAATTATTATAGAAGATACTTAATCAAGAAAAATAACTGCATGACAGACGACATCTTGAAATTAATGGAACAACGTCGACTGATAAAATCTAATGTAACAGAATATAGACACCTGCAGAGAAGAATAAAAAAGGAGATCAAATTAGCCAAAGAAAAATGGATGAGAGAAAGGTGCGACGAAATGGAGGATGTAATATCTAAACACGACTTATTTAATGTGCACTAAAACTGAAAGAAATGAGTAATATATTTAAAAAAACGAGTTCCGTCTGTACTTGTTGACACTAATAATAAAATTATTTTAAATGAGCAAGAAATAAGAAAAGAATGGCAGCTGTATATATCATAGTTGTTTGAAGATGACATGATTATGAGGAATAATATTGCCGAATTCTACCAAAACTGTACTGACGGCCCAGAAATTATGAAATGCGAAGTAGAACATGCTATAAATAATGCTAAACTTAGAAAAGCTCGTGGTCCAGATGATACACCAACTGAGTTGCTGAAACTAATAGAGAATGATAATATAAAAGTAGTAGTAAGACTTTTTAATTCAATATATGACACCGGAGTGATTCCCGCAGATTAGCTCAAATCCATCTTAATCGCAATACCTAAAAACACAATGCGAGAAAATGCTCAGAATATCGATTAATTAGCCTAGTGAGGAGTGAACCACACTCTTAAAATTTTCCTCAGAATACTTCACAACAGAATTAGATGCAAATGCGAAGAAGATCTTGAAGATACCCAATTCGGTTTTAGAAATGCTATGGGAAGCAGGGAGGCACTTTTTGCGATTAACATCCTATTACAAAAATGCCGTGACCAAATAAAAAAAGTATTTGCATGTATCGCGGACTTCGAAAAAGCATTCGATAAAGTACAGGATGTAAAATTACTAAAAAATATCGGAATAGATGACAAGAATATTCGTCTCATTAAAAATTGGTACTTTAATCAAACTGCTATCGTAAAAATTGGAGGTAACTACACCGATGAAATCCCCATACAACGAGGAGTAAGACAAGGTTGCGTTTTGTCGCCAACATTGTTCAATGTTTACTCGGACCAGTTATTTAAAAAGGCACTTGAGAGACAACCATATGGTATAAAAATCAACGGGTAACTACTTAATGTGATTAGAATTGCAGACGATACGGTAATTCTATCAGATAATATTGAAGGTCTTCAAATTCTACTTGATCCTATTCACGATGTAGGAGAGGAAATGGGCATTAAAATAAACTCAAACAAAACCAAATTTTTAGTGTTTAGTCGTGACCCACATCCTGATGCAAAGCTTCAATTAAACGGACTTCAAGTTGAGAAAGTTTACAAAATGACATATTTGGGAACTGTCATAACGGACCAACTAGATCCTGACATAGAAATAAAACATAGAATAGCAATGACTAAAATCACTTTTACGAAAATGAAGTCATTTTTTTGCAATAACCATCTCAGTCGAGAACTAAGATATAGAATAGTTAAGTAATACGTTTGGTCCGTACTTTTGTATAGTGCGAAAATGTGGACGCTAAAAGTATCAATCATGAACAAAATTAAAACATTCGAAATGTGGGTTCACAGACGAATGTTGAAGATACCTTGAACAACAAGGAAAACTAATGAAGAAGTACTAAGGAGCGTCAGCAAAGATAGAGAACTACCAAAGACTGTTAAACATCGAAAAATGTCTTATCTGGGACATATAGTAAGGAGAAATCAATATAAAACTTTACAACTGATCCTTAAAGACAAAATAGAGGGACGTAGAGATGTAGGAAGAAAACAAGTTTTTTGGTTAAAAAACATTCGTGAATGGACGCAGATACCAAATGCAGAACAATTAGTCTATATTGCAGAAGATTGAGAAGCCTTCGCAATGGTGATCGCCAACGTCGGATAAATCTGATATGGTACGCGAAGAAGAAAAAGGTTTGATTAACCAAGGCATTGACAAACTGTACATAGAAACTTTAGTTAATATAATACAGATAAGTAAAAGCTAGGGTAAAAATTTATGAAAACACTCAAGAGTTTCCCACTACCAGAGGCGTCCGACAAGGAGACGCAATATCACCAAAGCTTTTCACTGCAACTCTAGAAAATATATTCAGCAAAATGAATTGGCAGAACAAAGGAATATTCATTGATGAAGAATACCTCAGCCATTTAAGTTTGGCAAACGACATCGTTTTGATTGCTAATAATCCTGCAGAACTACAAGAACTTATAAATTGGCTAAAAAAACATATTGCTATATGGTGTAGAAACCTGGACCATAAAGGCCAATGTGATGAACATATTAGAGGCCTTTGAAATGTGCGTATTTAGAAGACTACTTAAAATTCCCTGGACAGATCACACAACAAATGTCGAAGTATTAAATAAAATGGGCAGAGAACGAGAATTGCTGCCAACAATAAAAAGAAGAAAACTGCTTATCTGGGTCATATATTTCGAAATTCCAAGTACCAGTTCTTAAAGCTTATTATAGAAGGGAAGATAGAAGAAAAACGAGGCATCGGAAGAAAGAAATACTCATGGCTTAAAAACATAAGGGATTGGACAAATCTCGATGCCCATGCACTTTTTAGAGCCACACAAGATCGAGAGGAGTATTCCAGAATTGTCGCCAACATCCACTTATTGGATAGGACACCATAAGAAAAAGGCTAAAAACACAAAAAGAAAAACCATATATAACGAGCTAGTGGATGTCCAAGATGTAATAATAAACAACACTGCACTTGAGACAGTAGACGAGTATGTATACCTGATACAATTAATAAATAAATCTGGTTCCTTACTTCCAGAAATCGATTGAAGAATGAAACTAGTTTGAACATCTATTGGTAGAAATGCAGTTATATTTAAATCAAAGATGTCAATGCACCTAAAGAAAAAAAGCATTTGATCAGTGTATACTACTAATAATTATGACATACGGCTGCGAAACTTGGACACTAAAGAAAGAGATACTATCGAAACTCAATGTCACCCAAAGATCAATGGAGCGGTCCATGCTAGGTATAACAAAGAGAGATCGAAAAACAATAGAATGGATAAGACAGAAAACCAAGGTTACTGATGTAATCCAGAGAACCATAGAATTAATTCTTTAAGATAATAGTGGGCAGGACATTTAGCGAGAAGAACTGACAATAATTGATTCACTAGAATTACACTGTAGTATCCAAGAGGCGTCAAGACACCAAAAAGGCGTCCAAATTTAAGATGGAACTATGACATAAGGAACCAAGCTGATACAACATGGCACAGAAAAGCGAATTTTAGACAATCGTGGGCAGATATGAAGAATGAATATGTAAGGGAGGCTAAATATTGTTCTATTCCATAATTAATTTTACTATGTTTCCTAATAAAACAACACATTGTAAATGTTATTGTATATTTAAATATATTTTTTTTTATAAATTGTTCATTTATTTAGTAATCACTAATGATATTAACAGAATTTATTAAGCTATTTTAAATGCAGCTGTAATTCTGCGTCAAAATTTTAAACCAAAACTAACATTTTACAATCTATTTATTTGATAACGTCAAATTTTATAATATAATCTATGATCGGAGTAGTAGCCACTTTCTGTGACTTGTGTTGCGTGGAGTAAATTTCCGACATACGTAATATGCTTTAAATGATGACGCACAGGTAACGAACCATGGACTTAACTGTACGTTCTGAATTTTGTGACAAAACAAAAGCAAGTGTTACATGACCCATAATTTTTATTATACTTTATATTTAAAATGTCTGTTATAGTAGTTTTCTGTTTACTTGTTTTAGACTAGGTCTCAAGGCAGTCCAATGTACAGAACAAACAATCGTGCTCACTGTTCATGTGAAATGAACTTCCAACAGGTTGATCTAGGACGAGAGTATTACCCAAGGTAAAGTATATTCATAGCCATCTTGAAAAATCATTTCTTAGAATTGGGCTGTAGAAGAGGAAGAGTTCACTACCATTCTTGCAATTATGTCAATTTCTTTATTATCCCTAATTGTTGGTTGAATGATCGTTTGGTATCTTTTACTCTAATAGTTTCTTCAAACTTCCGAAGAAGCTAGCTAAAATAAGACCGCGATATAGGGCGATCGGGATACCTCTCAATAACAATAAGTTCCAATGCATGGAAATTGTTTCTACATTCATCAATTATTAAGACAGCTGCTACTTTGACAGCTACAGTTCCTACCATTCTGCCTATGTAAACATTTAAACGTCCTGTTAAACAATAATTAAACTAAATATTTAAGGTATAAACATTTTTTTAAAAACTAAAAAGCTAAGTAAAGACAACGAGAGAATTGAAAAACGTCAACTTTTTTGACAAATATCCATAACCACATTGTAAACTATCGCTTAAAAATATCTGGGGCATGAGATACTGCTGAGATAATTAGACAACTGAAATTCAAAGAAAGCCAGGTCCGACTTTCCATACTAAAAAACACGTTTAAGTCCAATATTCCGGTCTGTTTGAAAAGAAACGTTTTTAATAATGTCTTCTACCCGTTCTTACATATGGTACAGAAACACTGACTCTGACGAAAAGTGCAAAAAATAAAATAAGTGTTATGCAACATGGAAAGATCAATGTTAGGCATTACCATCAGACATACAGTAACAAACTTAGAAATAAGAAGAAGAATAGGAGTTGCAGTTGCAGTTGCAGTTGGAGTAGACTTGCGAATACAGTTCATAAACTAGTCATGGTCAAATGTAGTTGAGCTGGAAATGTAGCAATTGCTGGTGATAGATCTTATAGAAAGATTCTGGAATAACGACCAAGACAAGAGGCACATCGAGGATAACCACCGCTCAGATCTTCTTCTGCTTCTTCCTCTTTATAGGCAATTCTGCTTGTTCATTGGCAGATTAATGACTCTATGGAAGGTTGTCACTCCATCTTTTGCGCGGTCATCTGATACTTCTTCTGCCGATTGGTGACTTATCTCTTGATATTTTCACCACATGGCTCTCCTCCATTCTGCTTATGTGGTTATTTCGTTCTGTTTTTGTATTTTGTGTCCATTCATTTATACACTGTACGTTATATTTTATTCTAATGTCTTCACTTCTCTTTCGATCTCTCAGCGTATTTCCTATAATTCATCTCAGTACTATTATATCTGCCGTTTCCAGCAGCCTTTGCAGTGTCGGGTCTTGTTTCTGAGGCATATGTCATTATTGGTCTTACACTGGCTTTATAAATTCTTGACTTCATCTCAGTGTTGATGTCTCTGTTTCACCATATAGTGTTATTAAGGCATCCTACCAGTATATTTGTTTTTTGTACCTAATCTCCCACAGTGTAATTTCCAGATATTTTATTTCCACTACTTGTTAAATACTGATGACATCAATTTTTATTTTACATCAGGTTGGTTTTTTGCTGACTACTATTGTTTTAGTTTTCTGAGATGATATTGTCATAATAAATTTCTTTGCTCTTATGTTAAATCTGTGGACCAGTCTTTGCAGACTATTTCATCCATGATCAAATTAAAGAGCATGGGGCTCAATGAATCCCCATGTCTTATTCCGCTGCCTATTTCCATAAATTCTGTAAGTTGTCCATCTAGTTTGACTTTCATTTTGTTGTTTTGGTAGATGTTTTTGACAGTTTTTATAATATTTAGGGGAACTTCTCTATTATTATACAGAAGATGGATTACATATTTGAGACTGTCAAAAGTTTTCTTTCAAACCTCAAACTGGCTGGTTTTTATCTCCTTTTATAATTAGTAGAATTAGTTCGCTCGTTCTCCATTCTTCCGGTATTTAATTTGTGTTTATAATTTTATTAATGAATTTTGTTAATTGTTCTGTCATTGCTGCTCCACAATATTTCCGTAATTCATTTGGTGTGCCGTTTTTACCTGCTGCTTTTCTGTTCTTCAACTTCTCCGAAGTATTTTCCGAACCTCCTGGATATTTACAATAAGTTCTTCGTTTGTGGTAAATTCTGGTATTTCCGGTTCTAGCATCGTTTGTTCTTTCTCTGAATATAGCTTTTTTAGGTAGTCAATTCACATATCCTTTTCTATATGTTTTGGTTATATTAGTTCCTTTACCTCTGTTCTTTGACCTTTTATGAAGCACCATATTTCCTTTGCAGACCGTAAAAATCATTATATTTCTTTCACCAAGAACTTCCTTGGCCGATGCTAAGATATTAGACTTAATTTTTGCCCAGCTTTCTTTGACTCTATCACTTTCTGTGATATGTTTGTTTCTGCGCTTTTCAGTTATTCTTTTTTGGAATAGGTATCTTGTGCAGTCATCCTGCAAGCTTTGGACTTTTATCTTTGTGGTGTATTCTGGTATTTTGTTATCACATACATGTGTTTTTATGATCGCTTCCCCTTTCTGCTGGTGTTAGTGCTCTTACATTCAAGATTTAAGAAGGCTGAAACTCTCTATTCGACAAAATATATTCTATTATAGATCTTTGTCCTCTAAATGAATGTATAATATAAAACCCATCATCTTACATTTTATGCAAGAAGGTAAGATAGAAAAAAGTGGAAAAGTTTCAGCACTAAACAAATATATGCTAATGATGAGATGTAGTCACATTAAATATAGATTTTTAAATAATAGTAAAAGAATAATTATATTTCTATAATTATGTTTTTCTTTTACATCTTTATTGTTTTTTGTAGATACGTTCAAACCGGAATTTGTCACTCTAACTCCTGCGACAAATTTTACCAATGTATCGAAAAAGTATACAAAATAAAAGTTTTGCGAAAAAGGGAGGTCAAAGACGGCGAGGAAACATTGTCGTCAGGTTTGCCGAAGCCTTTGAGGGATTTTTGGGTAGCCGAAACAGTACCAGTCGGTGTATCCTGCGAATGTGTTCTGGATATACAATCGTTTCCCGACGGCGTATAAAAATTATCCTACAGAAGTTGCACTCATGTAATTATATAACAAAATAAATTAGTTTTCGTTTTATCAATTTATTTTTTGTTATTTATATTCCGATTAAGTTGCTTGGTATTCTAAGTGGAAGAGGTAGTTCAAATAAAATGCGTACATGGGATAAAATCAATGGTAATAATAATATGTCGAAGTTTAACACTTGTATTCGTATTTCACATTTTATCTTGCTACAATTTACAACAATCTCCTATGCAGGCAATGCAACACTACTCTCTTAAAGTGAAGACGATTTACGACGTATGCTGTACCAATTTAATATAACCGCCAAAAAATTTAACACGGTAACTTCCCCAAAAAAGACAAAATGCATGGTTACAAAATGCAAGCTATTGGAGCTGGAAGGCCAGATAATACAAAAGGTTATGGAGTTTAAATATCTACGCATCACATTATCTAGCTACAAAAAGCTCGAAACTGAAGTGGAATACTAAGTGAATAGAGCAAACAGAGCCGCAGGCTGCCTGAATGAAACAATACGAATAAATAAAAATATCGGGAGAGAAATAAAGGGAAAAATGCACAATAAAATAATCAGACCAATAATGACTTATACGGCAGAAACACGACCTGACATAGAAAGGACAAGAAGGATGTTAAAAACAGCAGAGATGAAAACAAGCAGAAAAATTGATGGTAAGACACTACGGAACAGACCTAGAAGTACAAATATACGACGTAGATGCAAGGTGGAGAACATCAAGAACTGGGTAAGAAATAGAAGAGTAGAATGAAACGATCATATAAGCCGAATTACAACAGAGTAGTAAAGAGAGCAAGAGACGGTTCCCCAATAGGAAGACGATCATTAGGAAAACCACTAAAACAATGAAAGACAACAACAACTTACTAGAGGCACATTGAAAACCAGAGAGTCATGTCTACATAAAAAGAAAAAGAAGAAGAAGAAGATCTTGCTTTTTATATAATCCGGGCAAAACCCAAATGGGAACAGCTTTTGATTGTATAGACATATATAGTGCAGTGCTTAGACGTTGACCGCACATAACAGTCAACATCAGTTTATATTAATTTAAAAAGAGAGAAAAAACAAATCTCTTAAGGAGCAATCTCACAGAACGTGGAGTGGCGTTCTTAATCGGCGAAGACAATTAGAAAATACGTAAGAGAAAAAACAAAATATAAAGACGGGAACCAACACAACGTGAAATACCGTTTTTCTTCTCAATATTTAAGGATACCTGGGATAGGGTAAAACTGTCTATTTATGGTCGACGTGTGCTATCCTCTTGTTTGTCGGTAAATCGACCCGGTTCAAAAGAACATCGGAAGCTGATACGCGGTACGTCCAACCCTTTGGACGCGGCTAGGGAGGTGTGGTCGGTGTTATGATAATTTTACTATGGAGTAGTCTAACGAAGTTGTGTTGGAATTTTTATCATTGTATACTTACCCAACTTCTAAAAATTTTACCGCGAATACTGATGGCGTAAAATCGTTGGTAAAACAGACTTAACCATCGATACTCACCATTGAAATGGTTTGAATACAGTTTGGGATAGGTCGAGTGTATTTATCAAAAAGTAAATATTTATTAACTACATGAAAACACGGACTATATCCCAATTTTCAGAGGAGTCCGAAAGGGTGATACCTTATCGACTAAACTGTTTACCGCAGTACTAGAATATGCTTGTAAAAAACTTAACTGGGACGAGAAAGGCCTGAACATTGACGGTAGAAGATTAACAAATTTGATATTCGCAGACGACATAGTTTTGTTCTCGGACAACTTCAAGGAGATGAGAGATGTACAATGCTACATGAACTTGAGTTAGTGTGTGCCAGCGTGGGTCTTAAAATAAACATTTCCAAAACAAAATTCATGACAAACCTAATACCTAGCGGAAATATAAATATTGAAAACAACGAAGTAGAGCTGGTGGAAAAATACATAGATCTTGGACACGCAATAAGAATCACCAGAGACAACCAAACATGCGAACTACGAAGAAGAATAAACCTAGTATGGGCAGCCTATGGAAAACTCAAAGATATCTTTAAAAGCGATATATCCATTTCTTTAAAATGTAAAACATTTGACCAATGTGTGTTGCCTGTGATGACCTATGGTACCGAAACTTAGACATTGACAGCTACAAGTTCTAAAACGCTGCAAATAGCTCAGAGGGAAATGGAAAGATCAATACTAAGTATATCGCTTCATGACCGAGTTAGAAATAAAGACTTGAGACGAAGAACAGGACTTAGCAATGTAATTTCCCGAACCGACACACTGAAATGGAACTGGACCGGACACGTGGCCCGAATCGGTGATGAAAGGTGGTCAAAGAGATTGCTTGAGTGGAGGCCGAGGTTAGACAAAAGAAGTAGAGGAAGATCCCTTACTCGTTGGACTGACGATCTAAAGAAAATGTCAAGAAATTGGATGGAAAGTGCTTAAGATAGAGCACAATGGACAAAAATGATGAAGGCCTATGTCCAGCAGTGGACGCAAAGGGTTGGGTAATGATGATGATGATAAAATATTTACTAATTTCCCAATTACATGGGGTGCAAACCTCCTTTCTGTCCGTATTCTCTGCTTATATCTAATATGTGCGATTTTATTGTTTTTAAACCATCCAAGCTATCTGCAAACACTACTATATCGTCGGCGTATCTAGTATTATTTAGACGTACTCCGTTAACTAATACGTCTTCCTGTGGTTCTCCCAGTGTACGCTCTACTCAGAGTACATTTTAAATAACACCAGAGACAGAATGCATCCGTGTCTCTCCTTTATCTATGTCAACTGTCGACTGGTTATCCACTTTAATGTTGGCAGTTTAATTATAATATAAATATATATGATTCTCAAGTCTAAGTCTTATCTCATCTATGATCGCTTCTCTTAAGATGATCCAGCACTTGTACAGCGAATAGAGCCTCTCTTGACAATTGTTTTTTGCATTTTCTATATTCACAGACACACCCCGACTATTAGTAGTACCAACGTATATCCATGAATCTTAAATTTTCAAGAAGATTAATTCGTATACTTTCACTGCTAACAGATTGGTACTTTTTTTAAGCTTAATTTTTAACCTATCTCATGTGATACAGAGTTTAGTGTAATTAACAACTTTTTGGTTCCTTTAAGACTGTCTAAAATCAGCAAGATATCGTCAGCGAAGCGTAAGTAATTTAATCCTTCACCATCGATGTTGATTACCAGTTTTTCCCACTTATCATATAAACGTATATTTTAGCTACATTGTTAGCAGTTTTGGAGGATATGTTATTAGATTGTTGTATCCTCCGTTCTATTTTAAATGTCGATGTATTGACGCTTTCATCTTCTTTTAGTACATTGTTCAATTATCGAACGTTGGCGATCATATTGGCAATAATAACTTTGTTTACGGCAACTCGAAACAGATTAATGGATGTCTCTTGTTACCACCCTCAGAGATTTTGGAGCCAGGATGTTCTTCTTCCGGCAATTTTGCCATGTATTATGAGGTCTAGAAGGTTATACCTTTTTCGATGTCTCGTTACATGGCCGAAATATTGTACCTTTCGAATTTTTCTTGTTTTTGTTATTTCTGTGCTCTTTTTCATTCGGTGTTAAACAAGTTCATTTGTTATTTGATCAACCCAACTTATTCGCAATATTCGTCGGTAAATCCACATCTCAAAGGCTTTGCATTAGTGTTACTATAAGAGTCTAGCTCTCCATGCCATATAGCAATGTAGAGAATATGTAGCAGTGTATTAATTTGATTTTAAGGTTTAATGTTATATCTTTATTACTGAGAATTTTTTTTTAGTTTATAGATGGCGACTCTGACTTTTTTAATTGGTATTCTTATTTCTTTGCTTATATCCCAGTTAATATTGGTGCCCAAATAGGTAATATTGTGGATTATTTTTAATTTTATTCTATATGCTCTGATGTTTATTGGTTATAACTCTGTTTTGCTGACAACCATACGTTTTGTCTTAGAAGTTATAAGCTTTAGCCCATATTCAACACATGTTTCGGTCACCCTGTTTATAAGTCGTTGCAACTGTTTTCATTGGATGCAATTAGTACCGTGTCTTCTGCGTATATGAGAGTGTTGACATTAATCCAGTTGATTTTAATGCCTGCATATTTATCTAAGGTTTCTTTGACTATAAATTGATATTAAAAAGTAGAAAAAATAAAATTCACTCCTGCCTCATTCCATGTCGTATTTCCACTGCTTCCGTCATATTCTGACCAATTCGTATGTTTGCACATTAATGGCAATACAAATTTTTGATTATACTCAGGTCTTGGCCATCAGTTTACCCCTGCTTCAAGATACCTATCAGTTTGTCGTAGGTGACCCGGTCAAAGGCCTTTTCGAAGTCGTTTGACACTTTAATATATATTAATTACTGCATAATTTAGCACTTTAATATATATTATTTTGTTTTTGTTTACCCAGTCAAACGCTTTTTCGTAGTCCACAAATATTAAGTCCTGATAGAAATTTAGCTTGAAAGTTAATCGTCTTGTTGGTACTTTTGTGAATAATTTATATATGTGGGAGAGACGACTGATTGGACGGTAGTTTTTAAAATCTGTGGGGTCGCTCTTCTGATGTATGATTATCGTTATAACATTTTTGCATAACCGCATTTTTCCAGTTTCTTCCACGTATTATAACGAGTTTTAGCAAATCCACAAATTATGAATTATTCTAAAAAATATATTAGAAATCCTTTATAAAAGGTATATAATTTAAAAAAACCCAATTACAAAACGTTTTCGGAATCCATATTCCATCATCAGTGTCCTAAAAAGTGTATAACCACTTAATTAAAAAGAACGTTAAATTTGAATTTTGACCAAAGTTTGACCAAATACAGAATGTGGTTAATACTTACTAGGTGTACATGTATTGAGCCACTAAATATCTGAGTAAAAACCCGTTAAACGTTATCTGTTTAAATTTAGTTTAAATTATATGATTTATTATAATTAGGATTAGGATTCACTCCCCGCCTCTCGACGCGTTAGTGTTCTGAGCTGTTGGACGTGAATCCCTGTCCTGGCATTTGGTTTTCACCTCTGGCTGCGTTAAGTAGTTGAGTTACTGTGACCAAATGCCCATCTTGGTAGTTAGTATTCGCCTCTGGTTGCGTTGACTAACTGAGTTACCATTGCTAACTACCCATCTTCCTGTCTTTTGTTTTCTTTTTCTTTTCTTTGTTCTCCTGAAGAAGCTACATACAATTGTAGCGAAACGTCGAGATGAACCCACTTTTGGGTCACTCACAAATGACACGGTCCAAACACGGAAGACGAATAAACTATAATATATGATTTATATGGTATTATACATAAGGATGTTAAAGTTACCAGTGGACTTGGTAACATGGCGACTTATTACTCCACATGAAGTTGCTGGTCCTGAGACGGTGTGTCTACGAGGACTTGATGATAGCAACTGATAATCTTGACAAGTTAGGACGGAAGTCCGAACAAAGCAGTCAGTGTAACTTAACGTGTTAGTCTACTTAAGACAGAAGCCAACGCTATTTAAAAATTGAATAAGTTAAAATTCAAATAATATTTTCAACCATCAATGTAGTATTGTAAGTTGTGTTGTATTGTAATTGTAAATTTGTCCTGAATTTATGTTAAGAACATGGAAAAATTGTTTTATTAATTAATGTATGAGGAATGAATTGTGGTGAAAAAATTATGTGGGTATTGTTAGGCAACCAACTTTATATACGTCTGAAAGTAATGTAAAATAAGGATTCTAATAGAAGGTCCCTTATGTTTTTTCAAGATTTGGTACCTGGAAAATGGAAACTGGACATATGTGGGAAGTTGGATTCTTGAAAATTTATTATTAATGGGTGAAATATCAATTAATATTAATACCACTTTCAAATATTTTATATTTGAAGGTGGTAATAATTAAATAAAATAAAATGCTTTTGTAATGTAATGTTCATGTAGTATTTAACTTATAACTTAAGCATAGAAGTCCTTGTATGTTAAAAACAACATTTAGTACCTGGTAAATGTAAAACTTTTTACAAGTTTATGAACATAAATAACTGATTAGGTGTTAACGGAAGAAGTTGGTTAGTTGTTTTTTGTGTGTTAACAACTAAATAATATGAACAAAAATTGATGGTTGAGAGGTGGTTTTGTAGTATGATGATCATACCTTACTGGAATCGATATGAAGACCGCTATTTCGTAGCGCTACTTTCGTGACGCCGTGTCATGGTACTACTTCCGTGACGCGCGCCTTAGCATCTATTATGGAGAAAAAGTAATACAATGCCAGTATAGAAGCTCCACTTCAAAAAGAAAATATTTTTTTGAGAACCTCTGATCTGGTTATAGGCTAAACTTTGATACTAAAATTGATTGTCGTTTATACTTAAAAAATAATTTCGTTAATTGTATGTTATACTGGGAGATCATATAAATATTAATGACCAAAAAGAAAAAAATAACTACAAGTATTATAAAGTCGATAAAAGAGCAGGTGTATTTATTATTCCCTTTAAAAATTCACACACAGAACTGTCACTTTTTTTACTATTGAAAATGATTAAAAACTTGGTATTTATGAGTCATTGTATGTTTAAATCTTACCTTGGACAGTACTTGTTGTTGTACAAGTACGGAATCCAACGCCTTGGCTCCTTGTAACCTTCTGCTCCAGAACACTTTGTACCTCTCGATTGGCAAGTCAGAAATGGGAGGAGTCCATTTCAACAGTACGTTCAAGCTGCCGTTTGTCTTAACTAGAGGACCTACAGTCACGTTTTGGGGAGCCTGTGGAGGCTTAGGATCTAAAACCAAAAAATTATTAATATTTTTGTAGTAAATAAAATGAGAAAGAAGAATGTGAAATGAAGAAACCTAATATAAAATCTGTTGAAAAAATAGGAGACTTTACTAAAACTTTTTACAATACATAATGCAATCAACATAACAAGTAAACTTCCACTACAACAGAATTCCAAACAAAACACAGTTTATTCAAAAAATTAAAAGGAGTACTGGTAAAGTTTCCCTAAATAGATGGAAACATGGAGGAATTACTTACAGTGCAACAATGGACTTTAGGTAAAAACGAAAACAAACTAACCACACCAGAATTAACAACAGCCAACAGGAAACCTACATAACTCGGGCCTAACTAGTAAAACAACATTTGTTTGCAATAATTATTCTTTATTTATCAAAATAATTATCTTTATCGGCGATATAATCATTTCAGCGCTTATTTAACTTTTTGGTACCGCACTTATAAAACAATTTAACTTTGCATTCAAAGTAGGCTTCAGTTTCGGCGATTACTTTTTCATCGGAGCGATATCTGCATTTTTGTCATCGTTTCATAGGTCTGTGACACGGTCTTAGTGAAATCAAAATATTTTTTTGAAGAAATGAGGCCTTTTCTTTACGATTTAGGTCTTCAAACGCTCCAATAAACCAATATAATTGTCGCTGTTGATTGTTTCTCCATGTTTTAAATAATCAATGAAAATAATTCCTTATGGATTCCAATATAGAGGGGCTATAACCTTTTTGACGGTTCGCTGCTACTTTGGATACTTTGGACGACTTTCTCCGAGTGCTATCCACTCAGATGACTACTGATTTTATTTCAGAGTGAAGTGATGGATGCATGTTTGATCCATTGTAACATACCGATTACTACTAGAGAGGTAGCGGAAGCACTAAGGAAATTTGAGAATAGAAATTTACCTCGAGAGGACGGCATACCAGACGAGCTCTTAAAATATTATGGACTATGTAGGGTGGCCATAAATTTTTCAACAAAAAAAAGTATATTTATAATTTTTAAGGAAATACACTGCTACTGCCCTAGAAAATTTTTATGGTAAAAATTTTACCATAATTCTTTATTCTTTAAATAATTCTTTATTTAAACAATAAGAAAACGATTTTTTTAACTACTTTTTAACACTAACCAAAAAAGACATAAGAAAGATAAACCCAATAAAATATATTAAGTTTCTTTAATTTGCCTAATTAGCTGGTTTATTGCATTGAAAAGCCCAGTAGTTGGCTGTATACCATAGTTAAAAAACTAATACAGAAGTAAAAATTTCAAATTTGTATACTGGTATAAATATAATTTTCATTTAAACTTGTTAAAAAAGTCGTCCAAAATTTAAAAATGCATAACGTTTTCAATCAAAATCAGATTATCCTCAGTGCATTCTGCTAGTACTTGTAGCTAACACAAAAATTGAATTGGAGACATCAATATGTGGTTTACATATTATAAATTTAAAATATAATGCGACTCTAGGTCCATAACATTGGTTGTAAATGTTAATACTTAAAGAGCAACATGGTTCCTTGCTTGACTTAAACACGTGTTGAAGTTTTTAATCTAACTTTGGACATAGGCCTCCCCCAAATCAATCCAGTGTCTTCTATTTTGCGCCACTTGCTTCCAGTTGTGTCCTCCGATCTTCTTAATATCATTCGCCCATCTCATACTTCTGTATTAGTACTATATTTTTGTTTCAACATTTTTTTCTTTAATTTTAGACCTTGTTTACCCATTTATAGACACCAGATAGACTTTATACTCGTAAATAGCAGATATAAAAAAACTCTATAACCTCAGTTAAAACTTATCCTGGAGCAGATGTCAACTCAGACCACAATCCGTTAGTCGCTGACGTGAAAATAAAATTAAAAAGAATTGAACTTAGAAAACAACAACCAAAAATTAACGTTACAATGCTTCAAAACGAAGAATAAAAAACGAATTAAAAAATAATGTGAATGTTAATATGCAAAATACACTAACTGACATCAAACAAATTATGGATGTAAATAAAAAGTGGTATTATATAAAATACACATTACTGAAACGAGCTCAAGAAAGTTTAATACAATATAGGCCAGAGGCTAAAAAACACTGGATGACAGAAGAAATACTATTACCGATGGAAGAAAGAAGGAAATATAAAGGAAAGGATCTACAGAAGTATAAAGAAATACAACGAATAATTAAGGAAACAATCAAAACAGCTAAGGAAACCTATTTGGTGAAGTAATGTAAAGAGATAGAAGAACTAGAAACAAAATATGATATGAGAAATATGCACAAAAAAATTAGAGAAGTGACTTTAATGGGTCGAAATAGATAACAAGGACACATAAAAGACAAAAAGGAGTACTACTAATAGATTTACCAAAGAAGTTAAGGCGATGGGAGGAGTACGTTAGAGAATTTTTCCAAGATGAAAGAGGTGAAATGCAGAAAATACAAGAATTAAATCCTTTAGAGGGACAGAAGATCACGATAGATGAAATCAAATATACTATCAAAAACTCTAAAGACAATAAAGCAGCTGGATTAGATGAAATACCAGTAGAACTGTTCAAACTAATGGAAGAGGATAACTTGGAAGTATCGGCAGATTTATTCAACACGGTGTACGATACGGGAATAATACCACAAGACTGTCTGAAGGTAGCATTTATAACCATCCCTAACAAACAAGCAGCAAAAGAGTGCTCTGATTATCGAACACTGAGCTTCATGAGTCATACTTTAAAAGTTCTGCTAAAAATAATACATAAGAGAATATACGAAATGCTAGAGGAGGATATTAGCGAGACGCAGTTCGGGTTCCGAAATGGAATGGGTACTCGAGAAGGACTATTTGCCATCAATATATTGATTCAGCGATGTCGGGATGTAAATGTTATTTTACACTTGTGCTTCGTTGACTACGAAAAAGCTTTCGATAAAGTAGGACATGAACAACTAATATCAATACTTATGAACAAGCGCATTGACAGTAAAATCATAAATATAGTGCAAACATTATATTGGAACCAAAGTGCCATAGTTCAAATTGATGGGCAACACTCAGAAGAAATGACGATATGTAGAGAAGTTAGACAGGGATGTGGTTTATCACCACTTTTGTTTAACTTATATTCTGAAGAAATTTTTTAAATCACGCTCAATAATATCGAAGCGGGAGTCACCGTTACTGGAAAATTAATTAACAACTTAAGATATGCAGATGAAACTGTGATCATAGCAACGAGTTTAGAGGATCTACAACATCCTATTAAAAGCTTGAGTATGAATAGTGCTGAGATGGGAAATACATGCTAATTACAAAAAGACCACAAAATATACATCACCTATTGACAATCAATGGTAACGTGATAGAACAAGTAGAAAAATATCCGTACTTGGGAACTTTGATCAATGAAACCAAAGATCATACTGTAAAAATAAACAGGCGAATAGAGATGGCCAGATCAGCATTTATACGAATGAAGCCACTGCTAACATGCAAAAATATAAATTTGGAGATCAGACTACGTACCATTCGCTGTTATATATTTTCAATATTATTATATGGAACTGAGACTTAGACATTAAAAAAATGCAATTTAAAAAGAATCAAGGCCTTAGATCTCTGGTTATACCACAGAGTATTGAAAATATCATGGACTGATAGAATTACAAATAAAGAAGTACTGGAGAGGGTTGGTAAAGAAACAGAACTAATCACCACTATACAAACCAGAAAACTGGAATACCTAGCCCACGTGATGAGGGGACCAAAATATGAAATTTTGAGACTCATAATACAGGGGAAGGTTAAAGGAAGAAGATCTGTTGGCCGAAGGTAGAACTCATGGTTAAAGAATCTACGTGATTGGTATCAATGCAGATCGATTGATTTGTTTAGAGCCGCAAGTTCTAAACTAAAAATAGCCATTATGATTGCCAACCTCCCCGTAGTGAGACTGCACTCTAAGAAGAAGATCCATTTACCCTATTTACCAATTTACCCCCCTCCCCGCCATGTGTTTAAAAAAAATCTAATGAAACTGACAGTAAAATTATATAAAACTGTAATAGGACCTGGGGTGTGGGGTTGTAGGGTTGTGTAATAGAGGTAGCACCTTTTATCGAAACGACCATATCGAGTGTCATAGACGGGAGATGGTTATTGATAACTAGTCCTCATAAAACACCTAACTCTCATTTATGGCTCCAAGTGCCACTACATTAAAGAGCCCCCTGGATATCTGTAGTACAATCATCATAGTTTTGAAAACTAATAATGGCGTTACTGATCATGGCCCTCGGAAGCCAAGATCCGGCAGGGAAGAAGAAAACAAGGACTGTCAGGTCGTTGTTTAGCGAATTCTTTGTCAAAAGAACGTAGATGATAAAATAAGACTGTCGAACACTAGAATAGGAACCTGAAATGTTCAGAGCATGTTCCAGTCTGGTAAAATGCACAATGTTATTCAAGAAATAAACAGGTTGAATATCGATGTACTGGGTATCAGTAAAGTCAGGTGGCCCAACTCAGCTTGTTTTTCAGCAGACGAAGCCACAATATATTATTCCGGTAGCGAGAATAACCAACACAGACACGGCATGGCAGTAATAGGTAATAACAAATCTAATAGACCGGTGGAATGCTATTTCCCTATCTCAGAAAGGGTAATGGTACTGAAGTTAGTGAAATCTCATGCCAAACTGAATTTGATATAAGTATATACTTCTACAGCAGATGCCGACGACAAAGAAGTGGAATTATTTTACTAAGATATCGGAGAGGTACTTAAATTAACGAAAACAAGAGAAATCACGATAGTTCCAGGTGATCTCAATGCAAAGATTGGAAAGAAACAAAGCGGAAAGTGTATAGGAAACTGTGGTCTGGGAAATCGAAACGAGAGAGGAGATCGTCTGTTACAATTCTGTCAAGACTAGAACATTATTATTACAAACACATTTTTCAAGTTACGAAACAGACGACTGTATACATGGCGATCGCCTGCAGATACATCGGAGAAAGTAGTCAGGAACCAGATAGACTACATTATGATCAATGATAGATATCGTAATGCTGTTAAAGCCGTGAAACCATATCCTGGATCAGATGTGGCCTCAGATCACAATCCACTTATCGCCAAGATTACACTCACCCTTAAAAATATTAAAAGACATCAAAGAATCCCTACAATATACAGAAGAAAACTTAAAGAACCTAAAGTAAAAGAACGCCTCCAATATGAACTGCATATGAGCCGCAGCAAATTAAATACAAACACCAATGATATTGACGAGTACTGGGATCGGCTAAAACATTGTCTACTGGAACCCTGTAAAAAATACTAAAGACTTCGACACGGAGAAAAGAAGAATGGATGAATAACGAGATACTCAATATGGTAGAACAACGGAAACAATTTAAAAACAAAGACAACAATAAATACAGAGAGATAAACCACGAGATCAGGAAGATGATAAAGCAGTCAAAAGAAAAATACTTTGAAGAGAAATGCATAGAAATCGAAGACCTTCAAAATAAATATGATCTGTTTAACCTACACAAGAAAGTTAAAGAACTGACAGAACTAAAAAAACAAAATTCCACTCGTACAATTCTGGATAGACACGGAACTATTACAACACATACGAACGAGAAAGTACAAAGAGAGGCAGAATATATCGACAAGTTATTCGATGATGCATTAAAAACAATGAAGAGTGGGAAGATCCCTGGACCTGACATGCTTCCTATAGAAATCCTAAAAATTCTAGATGAGAAGCACATTGATGTTTTAGTGACACTCTTGAACTAAAGTTATAGTTCAGGCGTATTACTTAAACAGTGGTTAACGTCAATTTTTATTTATCTCCTCAAAAAGAAAAACGCAAGAGAATGCATTTCCGCACCATTAGCTTGATGTCTCATGTGCTAAAGTTACTGCTAAAAGTCATCTATAACCGAATATATCACAAATTGGACATAGACTTTAATGATACACAATTTGGTTTTCGCGAAGACCTAGGAATGCGGGAAACTCTTTTTTCATTTATTATACTAATACAAAGATGCCTGGATGTCAATCAAGTTATATACGCATGTTTTATTGACTATAAAAAAGCATTCAATAAAGTACGACATAAACAATTAATTAATGTCCTAAAATCAAAGAAGATTGACTACAAAGACCTCAGAATCATATCAAATTTATAATATAAACAGCTAGCAAAAGTATGTTTTAACGAATAGCTGTCAGAAGAAATTGAAATTAGAAATTAGATATGGAGTGAGACAGGGATGCGTATTGTCGCCAATTATTTTTAATGCCTACTCCGAAGAGATCCTGAAAAACGCTATTGACGGTGAAGCAGCTGGAATTAAGGTAAATGGAGTTCTCATAACATTAGATATGCGGACGACACTGTGATCTTAGCGAAAGATATTGAAGATCTTTAGAGACTGGTGACCAGAATAGTGGAGTGGAAAAAAGTATGGTCTAACAATGAATGTCAAGACGACGAAATTTGTGAGAATATCAAAAACTCAAAGAAATAACGAGAATCTTCTAATAAATGGAACCAACGTCGGCTATATGGTATGTGGAGGAAATATGAATGCTTCGATGTATGAGCCGAGTGACAAAAAGGATGAAATTAAGAATGAGTACATT